GTATAGCCAGAATAGAAACCACTAGAGCACAGATCGCTTCAGCGTCCATTCCCAACAAGAGGATTTAACTTCATGCTCGACCAGGGTTAGGCAATAAACAATCAATTTATGAATTTAATAAGTTATTAAAATGATAAAGCTGCTACAGTCAACTTAAAGGTCAGGGCTCTAGGCTGCAACCATTTGAGCTGTATTTTTGGACATTGCTACAAAATTTTATAACTAAAAGTTTATTTGTTTTGTTTTTTAAAATCATCTTGTATAATTTGAAACATCAGGAGGGAGCGAGAATTGGTCTGTATAACTCTGAAGGCCCTCTGGCTTATTTGGTTGTTTGCTCCTTTCTTGCAAGTTTGTGTAAGTGGTAGATGGTGCCGTCAACTTGACTGACTGGGAGCAAAATACAAGCTGCCACCTTATTCTTCTCGGAGAGACTCTCTTCATGCATTTTGCTTGGTTCTTTTTATTAAAGAATTTTTATTTCTTCCTCTCTTTACTGCCATCCACAACTAATATTTTTCACAATTTAACTTATGTTTTGTACGTAAAGTTAACCGGGTGTCTCTCCCTTATTTGCCATGGCCCTTTGAGCCAGTTATGGCAATGACCCATATGGTCCTATACACTCACTACTACGCAAGTTGCATATGGCAACCCCCTCGTTTCAAAGAGGGTGTCAATGTTTTGAGTAAAGGTTCATTGTTAAGATTTAGTGGCATCTAGTGGCGAGGTTTGTGAATTCCAACCATCAGTCCAGTCTACCACTGCCCCCTAACCTTTCAAAGAGCATAGGACAGCTACGGTGGCTGACACAACACAAAGGTGTCTCTTGTGAGACAGTAGAAAGTGGCCAGTCAAGAAATTAGGTTTCTTTAGGTATATTTATTAAGAAATCATATCTACTTAATTATTCAGTAAAACCATATGTTATTGTGACTTGGCCACTGACAGATAACATGGAAAATGTAAGCCAAGAGTGTTAAACACTGTCACTCTTTCTGCACCACAGTCCATTATAAACCATACATTAGATAAAGTTTATACAAACATTGACAAGGGAAACACATTCATTCTCTCTGTGATTATGGACCATTGCCAAAACTGCCCGCCAACAATAAAATCTGGCTCGCTGCCAGATTACGGGGCTTTGATAGCAGCAAAAAATATAAATAAATAAATAAATACTTTGATAGAGGTGCTGAAATAGATCTCAGTCATGACAGCAACTACTCACACAATCACTTCCCCTTTAGTGGTTTTGCCTACAAAATGAAAGTGCGAAAAGCTTGTTTACTGTAATGCTGTCTATGGAGTTGAACTGAGCTTTTACTTTAAAAATTCTGAAAGACATTAAAAGAGTCTGTAGCCTGCTTGACACATCGCTGAAAGGGCCATCAGAGAACGTGATTCCCCTAAATGTCCTCTCCCTAGAGATACTGGGGAATTGCAAAAGCGTCCGTAGGTTAATGGATGCGGATCAAACACCAAAACAAAAACAGTGCAGCACATGAGAAACATTAGCTGCAGAATCCGTTTGTTGAAGAGAGAAAAAAGAATTGCCTCAGGCTAGGATCAAACTCTCAACCCTCAGGTTGTGAGTCCTAGACCTTAGCAACTGAGCTGACCAAACAACATGTCGAAGCACGTCAATATTATGGTTTATATTCTCATCCACCATATAATGGTTGAAAATACTGCTCCCATGCAAAACTTATTTGCAGACCCCTGCTGTATATTATTACTACTTGTTCTTCTTCTATCGTACGTATTCAGCATAGTGATGAGTGTCTTCACTGCCTGAATTCTACCAGAAGTAGAACAAGAAAAACTTAGCGTTGGAACGCGCTCTGTAGCGCTGTTTATCGTTTTCAGCTACTCTAGCAGCATGACGCTGCAACGTGGCGACGTCCATGGATGGGGGTACCGGCGGTTATGTAGATGTAAATGGCTCATTCTAAGGTAATAAAAACATAATGGCTTATTATGTAAGGTCTTTACACACCACTGAAAACATAGTTATGGACCTTATATTGCATTTCTGTCAATAGATCCTCAGAAATATTACACACTGGACCTTTAAAGGATGAAGCAGTACTATCCTTCTGGTCACAAAAAGAGGTTAAAAAAACACCATGCGAGTAAATACACACACACATATATATATATATATATATATATATATATATATATATATATATATATATATATATATATATATAAGTAAGTATAAGTAAATAAGAACACATCTGTTCAATTCATACAGCTGCATATTCTCAATTCAAAAGTTTATGTATTGTATGCATCAATGCATACATTATATAAAATGATTGTGAAGTTATGCACCAGGATGGCAATTTATTACCCTAAAGTCATTCCACTTAATAAACTCTAGAGTGATGGGGTAATTTGGAACATCAGTAACAGATGTGTATGGCTTTGTTGATGCTCTACCAATGGTAGGTAGAGCAGTTGTTAAATGGAGCTTAGCAAAAGTTCAATCTGGAAGACGACTTCATTCACTCTCCTCTGCACTTTCATTCATTACTTCCTCTCAGCCACACCTCTTGGCTCCTATCCATTCATATACTTCCCTCTATTATCCTATCACTTTAAAATCTAAAAGGCAACTCCTTACAGCTTAACTTCACACCACTATGAACACCTAGAGGTATAGCTAGACAGATATCTGCCAACACCTACAACAATCTACAAATCTACTCCCCTTACTCAAATGTTGGCATGTGTAATAAACAATATATATGTTACAACAATCACATCGGAACAAGGGGAAGACGTTGCTCTTAGGGGAAGACGGGTAGAAGCTGCACTTATTAGCAGAATGGCAATGGCATCCTGACTCTTGCTAAATCTACAGTCATCTGCCACTTTATTAGGTACACCTTTTTGAATGCTTGTTAACAGAAATCAGCCAATTACATGGCAGCAGCTCAATGCATTTAGGCATGTAGACGTCAACGTCAAGACAACTTGCTGAAGTTGAAGTGAATTCGAACCGAGCATAAGAATGGGGTAGAACGTGGCATGGTTGTTGATGCTGGTCTGAGTATTTCAGAAACTGGTGATGTACTGACTTTCACGCACAACCATCTCTAGGGGTTACAGAGTATGGTCCAAAAAAGAGAAAATATTAAGTGAGCTGCAGTTGTGTAGACGAAAATGCCTTTTTGATGTCAGAGGTCAGAGGAGAATGGGCAGACTGGTTCGAGAAGACAGAAAGGCAACAGTAACTCAAAAAAAAACTTATGTGCTCTAGTGGAGCACATAGGTGGTGGAACGGGACATTCGCATCATAGATGCAGCTGACAAAGCTGCAGCAACTACATGATGCTATCATGTCAGTATGGACCAAAGTCTCTGAGGACACATTGTTGAAAGTATGCCACAAAGAATTAAGGCAGTTCTGAAGGCAAAAGGGGATCCAACCCGGTGTTGTCAAGGTGTACCTAATAAATTGGCCGATGAGTGTACGTTTGTCTACTGCAGATGCATTTTTTCATAAAATCCCTGTGCAAGGAAAATGGCCTACATTGGCAGTTAGTCTGATTTGTTAATGTTAAGTACTAACTCATCAGTAATCACAACCATTCATGCATAACAACAGTGGCGTTTTCTCCCAGAAGCCAAGGGAAGCCAGGCTTCCCCTGTTTTCATCAGACTCTATTTATCATTTCAATAAAAACATGTTTATAGTTTCGATAAATCTTATAAGCTGTTGGGGTCATGATGTCACATTTTTCAAAACTCTAACCCTTTTCTCAATTGCTTGGATACAATACACATAAAACTTAGATCATTTGTTCATTCAACAAAAATCACCTGTTGAATATGACACAACTTAACATCAAAGTACTACTATTTCAATAGGCAATTCACACATTACATTTCAAATGAGTGTCTATTCATTTCCTTACAATGATCTAACTATCAATTGATACAACTGCTCAAAATGATAAGTAACTGTTGCATTACTCTTAATGCAAAGTTGTATGGAAACAGACAAACAATCTTCCATGTTTACAGTAAATCATGAAAGTTTTAAGATAACGAGATTCATTGTCACCAATTAGCGTGGAGCATGGACCAATTAGACTACAATATCCATGGATGTAGCCTAATATTTTATCGTACTGTAATGCTTCATCAGACACTGTGTCTATGGTCCCAAATACTGTACCACCTTTTCAGACTATTTACAGTATTGACAGTACTGCACTGTATAGATGCAGGCCCTTGTAATTGCTTGTCCAATTCTGCCAACTCGTTATTGATGATTGAGTGCACATTGTGGAATGAGTATATAAAGAGTTGATTGGGATCCAATTGCAAGAGCATAGTGATACGTAACATGGAGCCAGCAGGTGATCCACGTCACAATGGAGGTCAAGCAGTGGTGGGAGGAAGACGTGTTGGTCAAAGGAATGGCAGGGGACAGGCACCCCTTCTGAGAGGTGGTCGTGGGCCTCGTTTGAGAGGTGTGGGGGAACGTGGTAGAGGACAAGGCCACGGACCAAGACAGCAGCAGCAACAGCATAGAGTGTCCAATGAAATCAGGGCAATACTTGTATACCATGTCATAAATCATGGCATGACAATGGCGGCTACAATGATATAACCAAACCTCAGAAGGTCAACCAATGAGAAACGGTAAGTTATCAGCATGCACTAAACATTATGCTACTCTCAATTGTCAAATGACTGCATGCCAATGTGTATCACAGAATAGGTGATGTGACCAAGTGTCTTCTTACTCTAATGTTCCCTGTAGAATTGTGACCAGGCCAAATAGTGGAGGCAGAGGCAAAATTCTAACTGACCAACAAGAGCAGGCTGTGGTCGATTTGGTTTGGGCCAGAAATGATATTCGCCTTACAGAAATTCGCCAGCATATCTTGGACAATGAAGACATGTTCAACAATGTGGGATCCATAAGTTTGCCGACTTTTGCACGCATACTGAAAAGGCACCAGGTATCTATAAAACAACTGCACCGTGTGCCTTTCGAAAGAAATGCAGACAGAGTGAAGCAAATGAGGACTGAGTATGTTCAGGTAAGTTCAGTTTCAAGACGGCTGTTGTAAAATCATTCCCAAAAATTCTACATTGTACAGTAATCTCTAAATCTTTTAATTGTATTTTTAGAGGGTGATGGAGCTGGATGCTGATGACGACCATCACAAATCATATATTTGGATGAGGCAGGTTTTAATCTGGCCAAGACAAGGAGGAGAGGTCGGAATTTCATTGGCCAGCGGGCAACCATCCAAGTACCTGGACAACGTGGGACCAACATTACCATGTGTGCGGCTATATCAGAAGATGGTGTGGTGGGACGCAGACCTCATATTGGACCAGATAATGCAGATGTCCTTGTCACCTTTCTTTATTGAGCTCGATCAGGTTTGTAGAGCTGAAGGTGTGACCTATGTCATTGTGTGGGACAATGTCAGGTTCCATCATGCTCATGTGGTGCAAGCATGTTTTCAGGCCCATGCACAATTTACCACCCTGTATTTACCCCCATACTCTCCCTTCCTTAACCCGATTGAGGAATTTTTCTCCGCATGGAGATGGAAGGTTCATGACAGGCACCCTCATGAACAAGTCACTCTTTTCCAGGCCATGGATGACGCCTGCAATGACATCACAGCAGACCAGTGTCAGGCCTGGATTCGCTATGCCCGAAGGTTTTTTCCAAGATGTTTGGCTAATGAAAACATCCATTGTGATGTAGATGAGCAACCTGTGGCCAAATCCACAACACAGAGTTGATGACAATGTAGAAGTAATCACTCCTGTTTTGTTTCTTACAGTACAAGCAAGCAAGTTGAGGAACACTGCATTTGATGTTTTACAGTACTGTCTTTTCTTTTCTATTTCATAGCTAATTATTTTTGCTTTGATTCAAATAAACCTATGTTGTGATTGTACTGTAGTGTTTTGCATCAATATATTACAAACTTTGTTCAATGATTCCACTGTGTCTGTAGTATTCTCTCTACTACTGCAGTACTTTTACAGAGATGTATTTACTGTACATGTACTACCATAATGTAACCTGTATCGCCTATATTGTTCTACAATATTTAATGATTGTACGAACAATGACACAGTGAAACTACCAGTTGCTTGTGTGTGGGTGATCTATAGTTGTTTCAATGGTATTTCACAGTAAATTTGTTTTTCGAACCAATGATTGTGCAAGTGTAAGATTTCTTTAAAGATGTGAATGCACAATGCAATGTTTTGAACATTAGACAGCCTGAAGTGATAACCGTTTTGAGTTTTGTGTCTAGAGTTGTGAAAAATTACATCAAGGTTCTGAAAATAGTAACAAAGTGATTGTAAAAAACTGTAAAGGGAGCTGTTAGCAACTTTAGCTGGTGCAGTTATAGAGGGTGGAGATTTGGAGATTTTAGTCATAATAAATAGTTTACTAAACTACCCCTACAGCAGCAACTTAAGATTAAATCTGACGGAAGACCAACGCCAAAACTGGAGCTGGGCGTGGAGAGAAATAAGGGGTTTTGGACGTTCAATGAGGAAAATGATATCCGTACAGTGTGGCTAGCATTTGGTCAAGCATTAAGAAGTATGTAGGCCTATTTGAAACATGCACCACTGCTCCTATGCAAATGTCTTCAATCGTCTTCTGATTGAGCTTGTGAATGCTTCTTTTATTCTTAACCTGCACCATAAGCAAGCGGGCTATGCTATTTGGGGTGAGAGAGAGTGACTGAGTGAGCGCGAGAGAGAGAGCGTACATCTTGGTAAATGCAACTTTCAGCGTGTGTATTGATAACAGATAGTGCGCATCTTTAAAGTTTTATTCATTTTCTAAAATTATACCCTGCACTGCATTAGATAATTGCCCTCCAAAAAGTACATCCCCTCTCACTTTGCTTCCCCAAAAATTTACCCCACCCCACGTCACTGCATAACAATTAGTTCAACATTTCGAAAATTTGCTGTAGCCAGGCTGTAGCATGTCAACCTTTGTTTAATGTCCCGCCCCAACTAGGCTGTGATTGGTCGGTTGGTTAACGAGTGCATCAGCTTTATGAAAAGTTAAAGAAAAGGCAGCCAATATGATTACCCTTAGTTCCTTGAATTCCAGGCGAAAACCCTGGATACTTTCTCTTCTCTCTATTTTTGGTGTGTCACACAAACAATCAGCAGACTCTGTTCGTGCTCTCTTTGTGCCCTTTTGGAGCCAGTCTTTGTTAGGTTGATGTAATGTTACTTAGACCAGCAGAACAAAGCGGGCAGGCAAGAAAAGGAACAGGTGAGCATAACCTAGTGCCCCCTGGCATGAATCAACCACAGAACCTGATATAGAGATGCAGAAAAGAGTACCGGCAGCTGAGTTGGTGCACAAGAAAAAGTTGCGGTACCCCAAAGAGTAAAATGTAGAAGTGCTCTGCTTACTGCTCCTGAAGGTGATGCCAGCATTCAACCACTACCCACCCCACCGTTGTCAGACTCCATCTAGAATAGAGTGGTGATCAGTCTTGGGGATAATATTACTGACAATTATTAGACCCCTCCTCATACACAATCAAATTGATGAATGCACCATAAATCTCAAATCTTCGCACTTTCTATTATCATCTTTAGTATCCAATAGTTAGTCTCTCCCGATTGTAAAACAGTGGTGAGCTGGGTATCCAGGATAATCAGTTTAAAAGATTAATGGATAGACTCAAATGAGATCAGAAATCTCACAGCCTCACTCCAAAGGTGCACACAACTATTACTGTTACTACGGTTGTAATCTACTGGCTTCATGGCTTGTCCACTGTGAGCTATTAAACTGCTGCTGAATTCTGCTCCAGGAGCCTCCCCCTCGGATCACTGCTGACCTGAGAAGTGATCAACAAAGTCCTGATTAAAGGGTCTCTTAGCCTCCTTGAAGGCAATCACACTCACAAGGTTGGGCCAAACGGTAACAAATGGGACATTCAGGAATCATTCTTTATTGCATCAATATCCCCAGTTATCGATTAATCAGCATTAAAATTTTAGAGGAGAAACAGGTCTTAATTGATGGTCTGTGACATATCTTTATTGCACATCTAAAATGCCCTGCTTGCATTTTCAGAAAAAAAGAATTTAACCTATTTTTGACAACTGGGCTCAGAGAGCGAAGATCTATACAGGTGTTATCCCAGTAGTGTGGATTAATTTCAGGTTACCATGGTGATCAGCATGTGCAGAGGCAAGCAGTGACTGATGACATTTAGAAACTGAACCTCCAAGTAAGCAGCAAAATACTTAAAGCTGAGGTGGTAGGCACATATTTTTGTAACTCCAAGGAAGTGTAACAGGTCATTTGGGCTGAGTGGGAGAGACTTGTCTTTGTCTAAACAGTGTGGTGTTGGTGGTGGAGGAGGCGGTGGTACATCTCAGGGACAGAGGCAAAGATTGCCCTCATCAATCTAATGCCTCTCCTCCTGAGGTAATCATTTCCACAGAGCAACATGGCATCTCATTAGGCTGATTCGCTCTAAGTGTCAGTCAGCCTCAGACACCTTCTCAACTAAAAAGTCTGGTGTGAAAGAGCACACACACTTAGATTATTAGACAACCTGATGGCACAGGCTCTCACACCTACACTACACTAGAATTATTGGTCAAGTGTTTCTTGGTTCATGGTAGTTTGACATGCTGAAAACAATCATCTTTATTAGTACACTGGATTTCAAAGTTGGAGTTTTGAGAAACTAGGGTTGAAACTAGCAATAATTTATTTCATTGTCAGTTAATCTGGTGATTATTTTCCAGTGAAACAATTAATAGAAAATATTAAGACATAAAGTAATTGTTTCAGCTCTTTACAAGACAATACCTTGTTTCTAATGACAATGACAATTATTTTCAAATTCTAATATTTTATTACACTTGAGTATTTCGAGGAATAGAAAATATATTTGCCACACAACACATTGATATTTCATATCTTGTTCTAAGAGAGTCAGCAATACCAGTTGGCTGATCCTTTTCCTGATTTGTGTGTGAATGCATCATTTGTTTTTAAAAAAGCCCAAAACTCCAGCTGCCTCCTGAGAGAAACCCCTAGCTACATGATAGAGTCTGTACAGTAAAGTTCCACCCGAGAAACAGCCTCCATGTCCTACACAAACACACACTCACACTCACACTCACACTCACACTCACCCCAACAACCACAAGGCTGTGAAAATGGGGGATTTGCAAAAGGCCGTGCCAAAGACACAAAGTGAGAGCAGGCTGAAAACAGAATAGGCCTTTTATGGATGTCCCATTACATGCTTTGCTTCTTTGCCTTCGGCCTCAATCTATTCATCTACAGAACTCTGCTTTCAGGTGAACAAACTCTCACCAACTCTCACCAAACTCTGCTTGAAGTCAAATCTACACATGGGTTGGACTTTTAAACCAGGATATCATAGAACAACATATCTTTGATTGTTACCAAACACACAGGGGGATTGTTTAATAATCTATCCTCTAATATCATATGATGTTCAACTTGTGGGATAACATACCTTTCTTCTTTCTCACCTCTCGCATTCTCTCCCCAACTGAGCTGGCGGAGATAAGTGAAATGAGGGCTGGCATGTTCCCTGGACATTTTAATTAGCTAGTCTTTAATTCAGCCTGACCCCTTTTCAACTTTGATCAGCGAGCGGGAGCTCTGATAAGGACCTGTCACTCACATGCAAAGACCAGGGTTACTGAACAGCAAATTGTCTCTTCGCCATTTGCAGATGCTCGCTACCTGTGCTGTCATGGGAGACCTGTTCACGGCCCAGTGAAAACTAAAAGCCCACTGAGAATGGAAATATCAGGCGCGTGAGCTATGCTCATTCATCCCGACTCTCCATTAACTCAGCAGCATGGACTGTGACAGGGTTGAATACAAATGCACTCCTTGATTATCAAGAGTCAAGAGATTTCTGGGGGCAAAATTAATGTGTAACAGTATGTGCTTATAGTCCCAAAGGCAATGTGAGAGCCATCTGAAAGCAAAAGCAACAATAAAACTCACAGAATGATCTATGAACATTTTTAAAAGGTATTTCATATTGAGTATAGCAAGTTGGAGCCTTTTGTAATTATGGAACATAACTGACATATTGACATGTTAATGTTTCAGTAGCTTAATTTATAAAGTAAGAATTATTTCCAATCAGCCATTGTTTAATTTCTTCATATTCCAAAACAAATGACAAAAATGTATTTCTTTTGTTTTCGAAAGCTGTACCGATAACGAACCAAACCGTGACCCCAAACCTGAACCACAGTACTTACCAAACCATGGATTTTGTGCACTGTTACACTTTTAGTACTGAAAAAGGTGACAAAAGGAGATGATTACATCACCTTCAATCATATCTCTTTAGTTTCATAAAATAGCAAATTTCGGATAATCCCGTTGTCATATTACACCAGACTAAGGGTCTTTGGAATACCCGTTCCCTAAAATACCAGAGGAATCAGCTGTGCAGCTCTAGATCAGCTCTAGTTTTAACAGCATGCATCTCAGGCATACACAGACTGTGACAGAACCAAAGTCGCGAGACAAATCCTCTCGCTGCTCTGTGTGCACTAAGCTGTGCCTGGCTACTCTGTGTGTGTGCTCCATTCCCCTTATGGCAAGGAGCACAGCCGACTGAAATCCCCTGTTCGCAGCTGTCTCATTATACACTGTTTCAAATAGTACTTTTCCAAAATGTATTTTTTTTAGGCAAATAAGTATTAAACTATTTTGCACTCATTTCCTAATCCTGCTTCTCTCTTGTAATGTGTTATGCTGTTGACAAGTACAGATGGTATTTTCCACCAAGGCAGCTAATTTCTGGCTAGAAATTGAATAAGTTAAACCCAGTGTTAAATAGGCATTATTGCTTCACACATACAAAGCGTACTCAGTATACCCTTTGGACACTTCATAATAAAGCTGGACAAATCCGTTTTTTGGACCCATT